TGTATGCTATTTTTATTAAGTCCATGAAATCGTCATTAAAAATTGCAATTACTTTAACTATGGCATGTTAACTCTTTTATGTATTTGAATTCCGTGAAAATGTTTTAAGAAGAACTGTAATAATAAAATAATACAAGAAAAATTGAATTTAAAATTGAATTTCTATGATAAACAACGAGTATTTTTTCATTTGATTTATATTTAAATGTATTTGATTAAAAACAGATTTTACTGTACATATTCAACAATTTAAAACACTGAAACTTCAAACTTTATAATGATAATAATCTTAAAGAAATATTTTTAATTTGCTTTTTTTTAATTTCAACAACGAGGCGAATCAAGAGTTTTTATATTTGTTTAAGCATGTGTAACATCGAAATTTAGTAATTTACTTGTTGGCTGTAAAAAATTTTATTAAAAATATTAAAAACCTTAAAAATAAACAACTGTAATAATCATAACATATTACAAAATGTTTTTAAGCATCAATTTTTTACCATGTGAAGTTCAACTATTTTAATTATGTGTTGATAAAAGATTTCTAAAATTTAATTCAACTTTTTAACAAAAAAATAAGTTTTTAATCTTTTGTATGTTTTTTGATTTTTGTATGCCAATCTTGTTTTTAGATGTTTCATGCTGTAAAAAATACAACTTTAAACAAGAAAACATATAATATCTAAATGTTAAAAATATATATCGGAAGCAGTAAATATTCAATTAAAATTATCAATTTAAAAATTTTGTATGTTTTGATTCTTTTTTTGTTAATAACCAAAAAATCGAATTATCAGAAAAAATAAAAAAAATAAAACAACATAACAGTTAAAGTCGAAAAAACAAACATTTTCCAACATTATTTTCCATCTTTTTTATTTAAACTTTCCCTCTTTTTGCACTAATAAAATACCCCGAAAAAGTTGATTATCAGAAAGCTTATGCTTTCGGTTTTTCTGAAAAGTCAAAAACAAAAATCAAAGTCATAAAGGACTATTTAAATAAACTTTCACTTAATTTTCATTGTCGAAAGTCAAAGGAATTGTTCCACTAAAATGGGTATTGATGTCAATCAAGTACTCATTTTTTATCGGTGCAAGACCATGCTCATAAAATATTGTTAAAAACAACAAAAGCAAATTATCATCACGACATCATTAATCATTTTATTCAACTATTGTGTCTGCAATTTCGAACAAAAATTGAATAAAAATATTTTTCTAAATAACTACATTATATTGAACTCATGTACAGGATATTACAATATTTGTCAACTTATTTACAATATCATGCTGTATGCGTTTATTAATTTTTGAATTTTAAATTGGTGATGTCTGCTAATTGGTTTGAAATGTTCAAATGATGGTTTAAAAAAGTGTGTCAAGTGAAACTGAAGTTGTAAATTCAAAACAATAAGTTTGTTCAAAAACAAAGACAATAATAAGTAAAAATGTTAAATTGTAAAATAAAGTGGATTCAAGAATGTGGTTTTTGGAAATCAAAGAAGTCAGAAATGATTTCTGTGTTGTAAGAGGTTATTTGTGTTATTTTGAAGTTATTTATAATCGAAATAAATTTTTGTGTAATAATTAAAAATTGTTTCATTCCAGTTCGTATTTCTAAAAATAATCTAGATGTCGTATTTTTAACATGTTGTAATTTTGGAACTGATCTGTTAATTAATTGAATAATATTTAACAATTTATTTGTTCGAAAAAAAATAAAATTTGTCTGTTTATTTATAAAATGCTCTATTTTTAAGAGTTGCGACCCGATTTTGTGGCCTAAAAAGATTTGGCACATCCATAGTAATTTGGGATACCCTGTTAACAATTACATTTAAACATGATTGTTAATTATTTGTTTATCATTCCATGTCTTGTCATATTGGTAACTATGTATGTGAATATCAAAAAACTACATTTTTAAATTGAAATATAATTGTTTAAATATGAATATTTTAAAAGAAATACATTTATTTTTTTGTTTACCAAAAAATTTTTTTGTAATCACTTTTTTTAACATAAAAAATAATTAATTAATTATTTTTTTATATTTATAATTATTTGACACGCATTTCAAACCTTTTTTTACAAGTTGTTAATTATTTTACGCATGTTTTTGACTTTAAATAAATATTGTCAGCCCAAGCATTTTGATGGATCTTCAAGGTCGCCTTTATGATAAATAATTATTCGAAATATAGTTAATTTAATCATTACAATTCTATAAATTATAGTTAATTATTAAAAACAATTTTTAAATAATGTTTTAATTAATGTGGAACTAATAAAAAAATTGTTAATTATATAACTAACTTATTTCTAGTTTATATAATAGAAATAATGATAGAACAATCACAGAAGACAGTTTTTTAAGCTAGCTTGGCAAACTGTAATTTGAATTATAACTTATATAAATAACTAAAATAAATAAAATATCGAATCTTTTCACTTGATTTTTTGCATTTGAATTTAAGATACGTCGGTGTATCTCACTTATAAAAATTACAATTTTCAAGTGATGTTTTTTCGAAATACTTAACATAAAAATGTCATTACTAAAAATATAATAAAATTTGAATTAAAATTACAATAGTTTTTCAAAGCAAACAATACCGAATCAAAAACTTTTAAAAATGAACTGAAATAATCATGTTTTCGATTCTATTTCTTTTTCATTTATTAGTAAAGGGTATCCATATTGATAATATTCCTATTTACTATATATACAACTGCTCAACAGACATCAGTTTAGTCACTTCACCAACAAACGTCGATAAATATCATAAATGTAATAAATTTAGTAACTCTCCGTTTTCTTTTTCTGTTTATGAAGAGTTGATTTCGACTTTAATTATCGACAGTGTCAACTCGTCTTCTCTTGACATCAAAAAATCCGATGTCCCATTGCTTTCTATTTTGAACACAAACATCTCCGACTTTGTTTTCGAACACAACACGAAGTCGACTTTTACATCAAACAATTCGACATTTGAAAAATTCCATTTTAAGGAAAACGACGAATACAAAATGACACTTTCTACATTGCAAATCAACAGCTTGTGGGCACAACAAATACACGTTGACGAATACAAAATCAGTGATTTTATTGGATATAATTGGGACGTTGAAGAACTACAATTCAACAATAAAGGATACACACACACTATTTGCAATGGCAAAATTGACTACCTCAACATTGATGAGTTCATTGCCTATGACGTCGAAATCGAAAATTTGTTGTGTAGATATTTAACAATGGAGAAAGCGGTTTTAGACCACTTTGAGGTGATAGATACGTACTTTGACATATACAAATTGAGTGATTCGATTTTCTCGGATTTTGATTTTCAAAATACGCAATTGGATATTCGAAAGGTCGAAAATGTCACGTTTGAAAATTCTAAATTCGTTGACGTGAGGATTTACACCGAAGTCGAAGACAATGAACATATCGACTTCTTTAATGTTTACTTCACTAATACATACATCAACGACAAATATTATCATACGGTTCACGGAGACTATTATATTGATGCTGATAATAAACTCATGTATGGTAAATATAACACAAATGAAGTGATAAACGCATCCTTTATCACGCGTGTGGTGATTTGTTGCATGTATGCAGTATCAGTGTTGTTTGGAATAGTCGGGCTCATTATACTCTTGTTGATTAAAAATAAAAGGTATAATCCAATTTGATCCTTATTTTTTGTTATATTATAAGACAATTACCGAATAAAAATCAAATAAAAATAATTTATTTTATGTTTGATGTATTTTGTAGATATTGTATTTTATATCTTTTTTTGCAAATTTCATCATTTGTAAATATAATAAAATTAACCCTTATGGGTCTGTTTATTTTTTATAAAATAATGTAAATATTTCCATTATTTTTTTATTTGGGAATTTTAGAAGTCCACATTTCATATACTTTATTAAAAAACACAATCAATGTATTTTTTAAACTATCCAAAATATATAAATAATATAAATACAACAAACAAAAGGTTGATATTGTTTAAACAATATATATTTGTCATATTTATTACTTCCAGTTTACACTTAATATTACATTAATAATAATTTTTTTGACATTTGAACAAATTTAAGTTAATTCTTTGTTGATTCATACCTTAACAAACAGTTTTCAATCGGAAACATTACTTTGACAATAAGACACAATTCAGATATGTTACTGAAAATATTTACTTAATTATCATTTTCATTTTTTGTTGAAAAATACATAAACATTTCATTTTTTATTTCAATAATATCAGCACATCAATATCACACAGATGATTTTTAAAAAATTATTGTTGAAAGTCGATTATAACGTGTATCAAATTATAATCATATGTGTATTTATATTAAACAGTTTATAAAATAAAAAAAAAATAAAATTCACAAACCTTTTTATTGTTAAAAGCATGACACCAAACTATAACTGTTAAATTTAAATCAAAGTTGGAATATCAGTTATTGTCACACCCATTTTAATTTTTAAAAACATATTTATACAGTTATATTAGTTTGTTATAAGACCCAATTGTCCGGCATCTAAGGGTCTAACATTAATATTTTTTGTTAAAAACTTAACACAAAATAATTTAATAATACATTTTAAAGGTTGATGCAAATTAGTGTTAATTTTATTTTTATCACCTTTAAAAAATGATGTTTTTAATTATTCACATAACAAAGTTATCAATACATAACTTAAACGTTAAAAGTAATTAATAACGTTTATACAATATTGTTAATACAATTGTAATTATTAAATAAAAATTTCAAGTAAAATAACGTCTTTTAATGACATTGTTACTTTCAAATATTCAGTGCAACTTTTGTGTAGTTAGTTCGACATTTTGTTGAAACAAAGAAAAATCAAATTTAAACAAATAATGAATATTTAATCGTGTAACTACTTCGATATTGATAATTATCATATCATATTTTTTGTTGATAATTACATATAAACGATATATTATATACAATTGTTTTTAACTGTTATTTTATTGTTTTATATAATAAACACACAAAAAAACAACACATATATTTAAATAACACCACATCACTAATAATAAATTAAAATAAAGACACCCACGAAAATTTATTAAGAACAATTTAATAACAATAGTTTTATAATTGGGTTTTACTGTTTATAGCAACATTTTTATTCTGAAAAACAACCTAAAAAATAAAATGTGGTAACTTTATAATTTGTAAACATGTGAAATAGAACAATAAATTTAAATAATAACACTGAATTCAAGAGAATATCAATAATTTAAAACAACTTAAGTTATGATCTGTGGTTAACATATACATTAGATTTTTAAACTAAATTTTTTATAGTCCAAAAGTTAACGTTATTTTGTTTAAAATTTTATAGTTGTTAACAATAAAATGTTAAAATGTTGTTCTGAGTGACAATAATTAATGATACATTTTTATTAAATAAATCAGAAACAATACTACTTACTGTGTCAATTTTCAAACATACAAACAAATTTATAAAAGTGGTTTAATTAAAGTTTAACATATTTTAATTTCAAAAATTCAAAATAAATGCTTTTATGTTTTTATTTATTTTAAATTGTTCATTCTTCGTTTCAAATATATTAACCTTATTTTACAAATATGGTTAAGATAATTTTCAAATTTTCATTTAATTCTCATAAAGTTGTCACAATTGAAAAAAAATATAAATAATATATTTTTTATTATGTTTATATTAAAATATATTTTTCTATACAGATGAAGGAATCAATATATCGAAATTAAGTAACTAAAAAATCTATTTTTTTCATGACAATAATATTTTGGCAAGTTATTACCTTTCTCAAAATTTGCCGAACATAAAAGTTTGTAAAATTTTGGCGAATGGCTATAAGGTAGTTATGTTACTTTTTAAATGGAGTATTATTATGAATTAAATTACGACTTGAGAAACAATACACAAAATAATGTTTTCCTTTCACACAAAAGATGTGTATTTTGTGTTTAAATAATAAACAGATTTTGCAATAAAACAAATTCTATTATAATAGTTAAAAATTTTAAATTAAATAATACTATTTTTAATTATATTAAACATTATAGTTACATTATAATACACATTTGATGACGAGAAATATATTTGAAAAAAACATTTTGAGTAAAACCCTAAAAACAATTTAAGAATGTCGACTCCAAACACTCCACAAGTCACAATAATAGCAAAAGTAAATGGTATTGACAAATCCGCTTCATTAAAAGATATTGATGTCATGTTTTTTAAATTTCATCCCAAATCAATTGACGTTCCTCGATACGAAGAAGACACTTCATTTCACTGTTCAATCATAGAAACACCGAATGAAGAGGTTTCGAAAGCAATAATTGCTGCTAAAAATAAGACTGAATGGGATGGTGCGACTTTGAGTGTGCGATTTGATCGGAAAGACAAGACGAAAAAGACCATTCAGATGTCGTATCTAAATATAGACAAGACTGAAGATGAAATCACAAGCTTTTTGAGTGATTTTAAAATAGAAAAGGTGACGCCTTTAGTCTTTAAAAAGGGTGATATTAAAGGGAATATTATCACAGTCGTTCTAAGTGATTATGAAGATGCGACAAAAATGCGGGACTATTTTAATCAGCGAAATAAAACCAACCGACCGATCAATGTCACATTCACTCTCAAAAACGGGGAGAAGGTGGAGAATTGTTTTATCTGCAACAAATTGGGGCATCTGAGCATTCATTGCCCTTCAAGACGTCGTGTCAATGTCGGCAACATTTCGTCCAAAAATGAAAAATTTAAAAAGAATACTAGAACCCCCAAGCGTAATCAAAGTCAATCAGGTCGATATTTCAAGACACCGAAAAAATTTTTTAATAAAAAAAATAAAAAACACAAGTGAAAAACAAAAAAATCGATTTGAAGAAATTAAAGTAAGTGATTTTTATTTATTTGTTAGTTAACACTTAAAATAACGCCCTTATTTTTGTTTTGGCCTATTTTGAAAGGGATATTAGTCCAATTTTTGATCATGTTCCTTTTTCGGCTTGTGTATAGTTTATGCACATAAAATAATCTCTAAAAAAACGGAAATTTATTAAATAAACTCGATATTTCCCCGATTTTTAGACCACTTGAATTTTGTTCAATGTTATTTAAAGTGTTAACTAAAAAAAATATTATATTTTAAAAAAATATTAATTTTAACCTTAGCAAGTCAACTGAATCAACTTTTTTTGTGTGAAGGTGAAATCTGGATAAGATTACAGTCAAGGGAAAAAGTGGGATGCTGAGAAAAAGGAGGATGCTAATCTAAATATAAATTTATTTTGGTGTTTTTCATTTTATTAATTATTTGAATAATTATTTACAGTAGGGGGAGTGAGGGGCTTGACGATACTGAGGTACTTGACCTATTCTTTCATAGTTTTCTTTTATTAATGGTAAAATTTGTTTACTTATTTTTAAACAGTACAAATTTTATTGTTAATAAAATAATACTATTAAAGAATAGGTCAAGTACCTCAGTAT